CACACACACACACACACAAATATATCCACACACACACACACACACACACAAATATACACACACACAACACACACACAAACACACAAATATACACACACATACACAAACACCTACACACACACACACACACACACACACACACACACACACACATACAAAAATACACACACGACACACACACACACATACACACACAACACACACACAAATACACACACACAAACAAACACACACACAAACACACATACACAAACAAACACACACACGCAAACACACAAACACACACACACACACGACACAAACACACACACACAAACACATACACACAAAAACACACACACACACACACACACACACACACACACACACACACACACACACACACACTCGCACTACACACACACACACACACATCTACTTGCTTGTCACATGTGCATGCTTACCCATCGTTATTAAATGAGGACATACAAATAGGCCTACATAATAAAGTAATAAATAATACAAAATGACCTCAGGCGTATGGATAGGGTTACCCATTGCATCACAGGTTCCTGTGACAAATTGCTGCCTCAGAATAACAAAGTTCTATCTGCTCGCAGTACCTAGTTTTGAGAATTTCATGTTAAAAAATATAAGTTTCATAACATGTCAAGCTTTTTTGAATGCAATTCCTTGAATATCTTGATAACGACTTCTAATAAACTTATGGTTTTGGCAGAGCAGATAGAGCATTTGGTTTCTGACCTCATGGTCTTAGTAACTCAAAACAGCCAAAAATGTTAGATAGAACTTTGTAATTCTGAGGTTAATGTTAATTATTTCTGTGCCAAATGAGACACTGGTGATGAAGATGATGATGATGATAACGACGACAAAGACAATGATGATGATTATGATGACGACGACAATGATTTAAATATGACCATTATCTTTTTAAACACAGGTTGCCAATGATTTCGTCTTCCACACTCTGTCCCATCAAACAAAACTACTGGATCTGTCTGGAGTCCCATTGACTACTATAGGAGTGCTCTCTTTAGATAATGCATTTACAAATGTGATAGACCTGAGATTGTCAGGATGTGGGGTTTCTGACCTGAGGGTTAGCGGTTACTCACACGGTGGTGGTCTCCAGACGGACTTTTACGGTGAAATTGTGTAAGTTAAGGCAAGCAGTATCTACAGCAATGTGTTTTCTGGTGAAACGGAGTCAGTTAACACATTACACCCCTAGGGTCTGGACGGGAAGTCTATTCCCAAATTCTAAGCAAGGGGAAGGAACCCACCTCATGTGAAGCATTCAAAAAACACATTTTAAAAATACTTTTAAAATTCTAAAAATTTTGAAAAAATAACATTTAGAAAGAGAAATGAATATACTTTCAGAAATATATAACTTCATGTGCACAAATGGTTGGAAATGTTCGAAGTTTAGCTCAGTCGGGGTGTGTGACCCGTCACTCTCACTCTCAGCCTCGCAGCCGGGCCCTAGGTCTAAATTCTACAGCAGAGTAATCTGAATCACCCCAAACTCTTGCTACGTTTTTATCAATACTTTTTTCATCTGATTTGTCATTTGCTTGTTCTTGTTTTAATCGATTGTTATTTCCTTTTTCAAATACAATAGCGTCACTTTTCATCAAGTCGAGACACCTTCGAAGTGTCGGAAACTCCTTTAGTGAACGATTTTTAATTAAAATCCACATAGAAATGTTTTTAAATATTCATGAAATGTGTTGAGCCAGAAAATGTATGTCCCACGACATTGTCAAAGTAGGCACTTGTCAACTTATGGGCATATGTGAGGCATTGTGATGAAATCTCAGGCTGTCGTCAAAATAATGAAATTGAAAAAATCGGCATTTTTCTGCCTGTTTGGCAATTTTTATCGAAATTTTGATTTTTTGAGTCAACATATTTTTTGGCTATTTAAAAACGCATTAATGCATGAATTTTACTGAAAAACGTTCTTTAATGGCACAAAAAATGTATATTTTCAGTTTCTCAGGACCAGCTTCGAAAGTCACCAAACTTTGGTGGCCATTTTCTCTCTAATATTACCTCTCACAACAGGCAAACCCCACCTCTTTCAAACGCCAATATTTCAACTTCTATTCAAGATAGGTGGGTATTTATTTTCACCGAAAGCAAGATAAAATGAACAAGCTTAAGATGATGTCAATACCTCAACATGCCAAAAAATTGACGAGTGCCCGATTCCACTGAGTTGTGACACATATAGAGTTACAGGTATTGTTTAAAGCCTGTTCATTGGCCTAGCTATTGATGGAAAAAAAACCCATTTAACTTTAATAGAAGTCGAGATATTTGCAATAGAAAGAGGTAGGGGGAGGGGGGGGGGTGTCGCTTGGTGTCAAAGGATGAAAATGGTTGCCAAAGTTTGGGGACTTCCAATGCTGTAGTAGCCTAAGAAACAGCATATATACATTTTGTGTGCCTTTGGTTAAAGTTTTTCCAGTGCCTTTGAATGGACATAAAAGGTATTGAACCAAAATCAAAACAAGAAAATTAATTAAAAATTTATCAGACGGACAGAAAAATGTCAGTTATCAGATTTAATTATTTTGACGAGTGCCTGATTTTGTCACAGTGCCACACATATAGCTGTAGGTAGAACCCTGTTTTCTGCTCATCTTCTTTTTCTTTTTTCCTCAGGGGTGAAGAGAGAACATTTTTTACTACCTCAGACTTGGACAACGTTCGATATGCAGACTTTAGTTTCAACTCCCTGACCGACGCAGGCAATACCATGGGAGGATTTGTGTAGGTTTCTGGAACATTGTGGTAGGGCTTGGCTTTAGCATTCTTTCAATCATGTAAAGTTTATTAGAATGATCGAATTTAATGTTCATATCCCATAGAATATATCTCTGCAGATGAATAATGTCAACTGCTCTATGACGGCACACACAAAGACACAGAGAGAGAGAGAGAGAGAGAGAGAGAGAAAGAGAGAGAGAGAGAGAGAGAGAGAGAGAGAGAGAGAGAGAGAGAGAGAGAGAGAGATGTGTGAATTACATAAAATCTAGAATTGGAAGTTTCCCTCCTACGTGATTAAAATTCTGTCAATTTTATGTCACAGCGTAGTGGAATCAGGCGCATTTAAATAATAAAATCGAAGAAACCGACACTTTTTTTTTTACCCGTTAAAGCCATTTTCATAGATTTTTACAAGCTTTTGGCTCAACACATTTGAATGCAGGCTAAATGCATGGGCTTTACACTATACCAACAACTCCATGTGCTCCAATATTTACGAGCGCCTGAAACCACAACGTCATGTCTCATGACATGTATGGTAAAGTCTTATAATTTTATGATCTTTTTAAGTATATGGCACTATGATTTTAAAGTAATACGATTTTATAAGTATTGAAAAATAGAGCAGATGCTCAAGTTTAAATATCATAGATACATACAAATATAATTTTATACAGTATAGTATAATATTGTCTCGATGTGGTGGAATCAGGTGCTCATCAATTTTTGAGCATGTCGAGATATTGGTATCATCTGAAAGCTAATTTATTTGCCTTCCGATGAAATAAATATCCATTAATCTTGGATAGAACTCAAAGTATTTGCCATTGAAGGAAGTGAGGTCTCCTGATTTCAGTGGTGAAATTAGCGAGAAAATGGCCGCCAAAGTTTGGTAACTCCAATAGCTAAAGAGTCTTTGAAAACTGGAAAATGACATAATTTGCACCTTTAATCAATGATTTTCAGTAAAATTCACATGGGAATGTGTTTTTATTTGGACTTCAAAGAGGTTAAGCCAAAAAATAAAAATTCTATAAAATGAATGTCCAAACTAGCGCAAAAATGCCTGTGTCTCCGATTTAGTTGATTTGATGAGCGCCTGATTTCACCACACTGCCTCACTTACAATAATGAAATAAATTAACTCTTTGTTGATAGTGGTATATGATAACCATATTGTTTATTTCAATGAAAAAAAAATAAAGTAATGTGGTAACAAACAAAGTAGAGTGTAATGTTATAAGACATCATACAGTTTTATGATAATAATATAAAAAGATTATACAAGATAAGATAAGATACATTTTATTTTCCAGATCCTGGCACAATGCTTTTGTGTTTCACTTCATACACATACACACACACACACACACACATACAAATACACACACACACACACACACACACAAACACAAACCTGCACACGCATGCATAAGCATGCATGTGTGCACACCAATTTACACACACACACACACACACTCTTCCCTTTCACATCCTCTCTTCATCACACATCTGTGCACATAACCATAATAATATAACAGTATGCCTGCACTCTCAAACAGGCTCACAGTCACATGCATAACATAAATGAACAGTGATATAAACATAAATAATGTTAAGCTAGATATGTACTCAGGATTCTGATTGTAACTCAATGGTATTCTGATGCATGCTCTAAGGTCATGTTATCATCTCATCTGATTCCAAAAGTGTGTAAGATAAGATGCAGTTTTAGAAATATAACACATCCAGCTTTATTGTAATATCATACGGTCGCTTTTAACCAAAAGGGGGCTATCCCGAAAAATACTGTTTTGAGAAAATCGAAGGTAAAGTTTTTGGACCCATGAAATCTATTTCTGCTTATTTGTTTTCAAATGAATTCTTCTGTGGTTTTGCGTATGAGTCAGTTACGACCTTGTCTGCTGTATACTTATAAATTACTGACAATTATTTGATTGAGAAGAGTCTAGACAAAAAAATTTGGGTAGGCTCAGTTGTGCAGATCATGGGCGCACCAGCAGTGGAATTTTAGTGGCAGCGGTAGTTTCCCCACCGAGTATCTTATCACGTCGGGGTAACGGGGGTCAGCTCCCTGTTGCTGCTCTGTCTAGACTAACTTAATTTTTGGTACTTTTCAATTTAAAGTTTTAGGTGTACCCTTGTATTTATAGTAATTATCATTTATTGCACCCAAAGCACGCATTTCAGCTCTTGAGACTAAAAAAACGGACTTTGTAATTGTCTGGTTATTATGTAAGACACGCTGAAGTCGGCAATGCTAAATTGTAAATTTTTTTTGGGCAAGTGTGAATGAAAAAAAATCTATATAAAAGAAACCCGGCAATACAAAAACTGTGGAACTTTTGGAACATAAACGACATAACATTGGTGCTGATACTCAGAAAAGATCTTATCTACAAATATGATAGAAAGCTGTATTTTTGCAACTTTATCCTTCTGGCACACAATTTGCTAAGAAGTAATTCCTCCAAATACAATTTTATGTGTCTAATATAATCGTGAATATTCGCATATTTTCTCGAAAGTTAAAAAAATTACCCTGTATTCTCTCTATGAAGTAATACAAATCGATTTTAGAGCCAGAATACGTCTACAATGCAATACACGAACAGTGTCTGTTACATTCCAGAAATTTCTTACTTTTCTTAACCTGCTAAGTCTAGGTTTTGTAAGTTGACTGAATAACATGGATGACTTCTCGTAACTGGGTTATAAGAATAATTTCTAGCTTTCCAGTGACACTGAATCTGCACCAGACTTTGCCAGCTTTTATTTTCCTGTCTTTTGTAATAACTGACAATGTTTTGATTTCTATAGGCCTACATTCATAAGTGCCCATCCATATTTCCGACTCAAAAGCTAGGAATGAATGTGTCACCTGTCATTATTAAATTTCCAACAAGAAGTTTATTGCTACACATTATGTATTTAGACAGTTTTGTGTTGTTTTTTAAAAATCGCATAATATATCTTTCTTAGTTGTAGGCCTGTGCAGGCTGCCACAGACACAGCATGATTTATGAAAAAACACAGAATAAATTTATCTTGTTCAATGGTATAACAAGAGCTAATGCTGAGTGTCTTTTGCTAAAGAAATGCAGATGTGCATCTTTCTTCTCTTTTAACTTGACTATTACGACCTGCACAGGTTTACGATTTCTCATTTTGTAACTGATATGATATTTGTAGTGAGATTAACACATATTTTGGAGAGATCTGTCTTGCCGTTTTAAATTTATTCTTATAAGTATGTGGCTAAAACAGGACAAATTGGGTACTCCTCAAACACTTGTCTGTGGGTGGTTGGCGGGTGCTCTGGTGTGGTTTGCTTCTTCTTTCCTATCAAACATCTGTCATCCTTATCTCCCCTCCTTCTTTTTTATGTTTGTTATTCTCTTGTAACACTTCTGATCTTCTGGCGCTCATATGACCGTATTCAGTTGCAAGAACCATAAAACCTCTACTAAAACAAACAAACACTTGTCTAGAACAAAAACTAAGGCACAAAAAATTAACCATTCTAGCCCAGAATAAATCTAAAGAAATTGAGCTTTTAGTACGTCAGTGTAATGGTTTGACAGTGACAATGACAATGACAATGACAATCTTTATTCGTCTCGCAGAGAGAAATTTATCTTGGTTGTTAACAGTTGCAGTAGACGTTACAAAAAGTTAGACCTAAAGGTGCACTCATGCAAACACACAACATTAGGTCTAGTAAATGCATGTCTCACATGCTGGGACAACCCGCTCCGCAAAACATTCTCTCTCTCTCTCTCTCTCTCTCTCTCTCTCTCTCTCTCTCTCTCTCTCTCTCTCCCTCTCTCTCTCTCTCTCTATCTCTCTCTCTCTCCCTCTCTCTCTCTCTCTCTCTCTCTCTGTCTCTCCCCCCTCTCTCTCTCTGTTTCATTTGTAGCACTGTGTGTTCAGTAACCTCACTGCAGTTGGTACGAATTAATTTCTATATCTTTCTGTTCTTGCTTTTTTGAAAGTGTTTCCGCATTATTTCCGCCTTTTTTAGAACGTTTGTCTTCTACAGATATTCAAAGTTACTTAGGTCTCTACCAATTGTTCTCGATGTCTTTATTATTCAACTTGTTTAATTTTATAATGTGCTGCCTTCCCAAATTGTTGCCATAGCAAGTGATACCACAATTTATCAAAGTTTCTATGGTAGTGGCGTAGAATATCTGAAGGATGGATGAATTCAGATTGAAAGACCTAAGTTTCCTCTGAAAGAACAGCCTCTGATTTACCTTTTTCACGATATTGTTTACGTAGTTTTGCCATGTAAATTTGTTGTCGATTGTAACACCAAGATATTTGTATGAATTTGTGAATTCAATTGTTTCTTGTTCAATTACGAGTGGTGGGATTGTTGGTTTTTCTCTTCTAAAATCAAAAATCTTTTCCTTTGTTTTTGAGAGGTTCACTTTTAGAAAATTTGAATTGCACCAATTAAAAAACATACATATTTCTTCGAAGTACTCTTTTTCATCAAGGTTAATTAATCCAATAATAGCGGAGTCATCTGCAAACTTGATTAAGCGTGTTGGGCTCATTAACCTCGTGACCCCGAGCCATTGAGCTGTGGCAGGCTGCTCAGTCATTCTAACTTAAAGTAACAGAATCATGCGAAAAGTGACGCCGTGAGATATGCAGAAAACGCTTTTAAAGCAAATCTGGAGGCGAAATGGACCATCCCATCTAAAATAAGGCATACCTTTCTATTTAGACTATTCCTATTTTGAAGTATAAAAAAACCAAAAAACCCAAATAGTCTATCCCCGGTACAGTGGGCTAACCCACCAAGCTTGTTGACTCTTTAGTCTAGCCTAACCCTGTAGGAATTGCGTTTTAACCATTTTTTACCTAACAGACTGGTACTATTAACAGAAATCGAGTGAAAAATGATACATTACAGAAAAACATTTTATGAAAAATACTTACCTGATGTGAGAATATCGCAGTCTTTGGGGTAATTTTCAACTGCGACATGCAGTGAACTCTTCACTGTCCTTAAAAGCGACCATATTATAAACAGTTATATAAATGTAACATGTATAATAAGAATCTCATTTACATGTAAAATAGAACAAAATACAATTTTGTAATAATAGCGTAATATCTTTATTCAATATCACGCGAGATAAGAATTATGTGAATCATCGTGGTAAAATCTGGAACTCATCAAAATATTGAAATTAATTGAAGAAACCCGCATTTGTCTGCCAGACTGGGAATATTTATTGAAGTTTTTTTGTTGTTTTTTTGTTTTGGCTCAGCACTTAATATGTGCAATTAAAAACATATTTATTTTTGGATTTACTTAAAAACGTTGATTAAAGGTACAAAAAAAAGTTAAATTTTGTGTTTTTAGGGACTCTCAAGCTATGTAAGTCACAAATTTTGGCAGCCATTTTCTCACTAATTTTACCTCTAAAACAAGGCAACCCCACCTCCTTCAATTGCCAATACAGGGTGTCAATAAAACAGAGGACTCATTTAGAGGGTAATAAACTTGGTCGTATCTACACTAATTTCAACAAAAAAATTTAACAAATGAAATTTAGCCATTATGAATGTAATACAAGACAAGATAACATTTTATGGAGGTAGCAAAATATCCTTTGTCCCTGTTATTTATGATTGTGCCGTAACAAAATCTCTTCCTACTTTGGAACTTTCAGAAAAATGAAGAAGTTGGAGACTCTCAACTTTTCCCACAACCCCCTGTTCACCTTGGACGCCCCCAGCATCAGAGGGTTCGCGCCTCGCGTCCAGATCTTGGACCTGTCCCACACAGCGGTGGATGGCAACAACAGGTGGACACACCGTTCTCTGTGACCTCATGAGTACACTCTCAGTCGTAACACTTTTTAAAAAACCTCAGTTTCGATACGCCCTCTTGGGAAAGTGGGGGTTGCTATTTTTCTAACGCTTGTATCTTGTCTAATTTGTTTGACATAACACATAAAAGAAATACAATTGCACTTTTGATACCCACCCTTATTTGAGGGTGGAGGGAGGGGTTGTCTCTTGCATATATATATCTTGTCTAGAGTGTTGAGATTGTAATATTGTTCGGTTTGTGGTTACCAATAGGTTTAGAGAGAGTGAAGAAACGCACGCTTGAAAGGGCTCTCTGTTTTATTTTTGCCCTCTAGTACACTGTAACTGAAAAGTGACTACTGAGTAAAAGAAAGGTGCTGTCTAAATCCTGATACATTATGAAACCGTTATAACAGTGGTGTTATGTAATGTACATTATTCCACAGACGTCTTTCAGATAATTTAATTTGATAACATCTTCACTCAGGAATCGAACTCACACCCTGTACGTCCTCCTATCGTGACCGTGCAAGACAAAAGAGTTTGTTCACCTAAGAGCAACGAACTGCTATCCTTGAGAATGTGTTATTTATCTTCATCATCATCATCATTATCTTCATCATCATCCTGATCATCACCATCATGTATTTTCCAGTTACTACCATACCTTATTCGAGTTTTTGTTATATCCAGTGGCTCATAAACTGTTACTCAAGATGCTTTCGTTCTGCACTGTTAGCACATTGCTTCTCTTGTTGCTGTTGTTCTCGTCGTCGTTGCAGTTTTTGTTTCTCTTTTTGTTAATGTTTTTGATATTGTTGTTGTTGTTTCGCAACTACTTCAACTGCCATTTCAAGTTGTTGTTCTTGTTGTTGATGTTGCTGTGGTTGGTATTGCTATTTTTAGGCCTATTTCTATTCCCTTTCTCATTGTGACTGTAAAAGAAGAAACATTTTACTGTATTTTAAACCATTCTGACCTTTCTTTGAATCCACAGTCAACTGTTACCGATGTTCACTAATCTAAAGGAGCTATACTTACTAGGCTGTCCGATCTCCAACCTAAAGCCTGCCTTTCCGAACACTCTAAAAGTAAGCTTTTTTGGTAGATATCTTGTTTGTTTTGTTTTTGTAAAGTGTTTTACAGCGCTCGCAACTGCATAAGGTCATATGAGCGCGCGGGACACACCTAATATTTTCAGTTGGTAGGAAGCGGGTGGCGGCCGAAGCCTACTCTTATCGATTTTAGACCACCAAGGGATCTTTAATGTGCGCAACTTGCACACGGGCCCTCCGAGATTTTTCGCCCTTGTCCGAGAAGGCTAGGTGTAGATCTTTCCTACCAGAAGATATGGGGTGTGGCTGAAAGACAGCAGTAAGAAGGAGTAGCAGTAGAAAGGCTGCAGAAAGAATCAGGAGCCCAAAGGAAGGGGCGAAGGAGGTGAGGGGTGGGGGCAGAAAGAGGAGACCAAAGCAGATGACAGAACATTGCTACAGAGCAGGAAATGAGGTGAAAGGAGACAAATTTAGAGAAGAAAATTAGTCGGTCGCTACCCGGATTCGAACCTGGGACCTTTTGAATGAGAGGCCAACACCTTAACCTCTAGGCCAGGAGAGCCCGGAGAGCCCCCTGGTAGATATCTGGAAGTTACAAATGCTACAGTCATGCTGTAGTGGAAGCGGAAACAATGCCACTGGCAACAGCACCTGCTGTTTTTATCAGTATCAATTATAACACTTGGATTACATAGGCTCTGTGAATAAAACAAATGTGAGGCAGCATGGTGAAATCAGGCGCTCGTCAAAATAATGAAATTTTCCGCCAGTTTTGAAAATTTTATCGAATTTTTTTTTTGGGCTTAACCTCTTTTATGTCCATATTAAAACACACTTCCATATATGAATTTTACTGAAAAACATTGATTAAAGGCATAAAATAAGTCATTTTTCTATTTTCAAAGACTCTTTAGCTATTAGAGTTATCAGATTTTATGGCCTTTTTCTCACTAATTTCACCACTGAAACCAGGCTACTATACTTTCTTCAATCACAAATATCTTGAGTCCTATTCGAGATAAATGGATATTTATTTCATAGGAAGCAAGTGAAATAAATCAGCTTTCTGATGATACCAAATAAAAAAAAAATTGATCAGCGCCTGATTCCACCCCGTGGTAACACAAATATATTTGAGAAGTTACCACTGTCATGAGGATTACAGAGAATGAGATACACAGGAGGCCTGAACATTTTTATGACGAGCAATACAATCAGTTAAAAAAAAATTTTGGGGGCATGTGGAGTTATAGGTATCGTCTGAAAGCTGATTTATTTGCCTTGCTTCCAATGAAATAAATATCCATTCATCTTTGATAGAGCTTGACATATTTGCGATTGAAGAAAATGAGGTCGCCTGGTTTCAATGGTGAAATTAGCGAGATAATGGCCGCTGAAGTTTGGTAACTCCAATAGCTAAAGAGTCTTTGAAACTGAAAAATGAAATATTTTGTGCCATTAATCAATGTTTTTCAGTAAAACTAACTCGGAAATATGTTTTCATATGGACATAAAAGAGTAACAAACACAAAAAAAGAAGGAGGGGAGATGAGGACGAAAGGTGTCTAATAGGAAAGAAGAAGAACACAATAAAAAAAAGCTGAGCTGATCAGGAGGAATGACAACTTACAGGAATGATACAGTGAGTGCCAGGAAAGGATAGTTGACGTTGTTAAAGAGATGGTGTCGTTAAAGTTTGGTTTCTTGGTTATTCGGTAGGAGAAAAGGTTTCATTGCAGGTGGTACAAGGCCAGAGCTGCTCCTCATTATAGTGTGATGTTGATTTAATTTGATTTGTAAGTCTTTATGTTTGCTAGTATAAGGCAGATGTGCAAGAGATTGTAATTTATATGCCTGTGGCATTATAAGGCACATTGTTTCTACATGTATGACAAATTATGTCTATGAAGTAGATTATGAAGTGAATGGGTTCGGCAGAGGAAGGCAGATGGGTATTCACTAATGTTAGGCTACGTATACATCCATTCTAGGCGAAGTTGTGAGCAAATGGAATGCAAACTTCTGCAATGTTAAGTTGAATGTGTATGCTATTATAAGGAAAAATGTATTTTCCTCAGTAAGAAGAATTTTATATCATTATAATGTATACTATTTTAAGGTGGGTGTGTACACATTATTTTTTCAAGTGAAATGTATTCTATTATGAGACTAAATTGAACAAAATTACAGGGCTTGAATTTGGTGTTCAGGAGGGCAGGCAAAAATTGCCTCGGTGGGGCCTAAAAATCAGAGGGCACCGATGGAATTTGCTAGGGCACCAAGGCAAAAATTATAGGTGATCATTTTGTTGATTAAAGTTGGTAATAGTGGATCATGCATCACAACGTTTATTTTAGTAACAATACAATTTATTCTTGCTCTCCACCTAAATATAGAGTTATTGGAAAGTTAGTAAAATCATGAATGAAAACTAAGTAAATCACAGTAAAAATCATATTAAAACAAAAGCACAAAAAATCACAGTTTTAAATCAAATAATGATCACAAATTGCATCTGACTTAAATGCCTTTATGACTAGCTCTTATTGATTGGATTAACATGAATAATGAATATTATGACTGTTGACGATAGGGCATGATAGGAAACAGTAAATAATATGAGCAATTAGGTAAGACATTAATCATTAGGCCTAATGAGATTCTAACAGAATGGTTTGCAGGCAGTGTAGTAATAAAATAAAAACAAATCAGGGTAAATGAAAACAAATTTTTAACTTGTATGAAAAAGAAAAAATGAGAAGTGAAAACAACTTTTGAAATTGTGTGGAAAAAAAGAATGAATAACTATAAAAAAGACCTAAACTATCAGCATGTCATATTAAATGTTATGACTCGTGACTAGATCAGAATATTGAAAATATGTTGGCACCACAAATATAGAAAAAGACTGGCTTACTGTTTGTCCCTTATGAAAAAAAAAACGAGTGATTTTTAAAAAGTATCACCAGAGAAGATGATTTCAGAGAATAGTGCTGCTTTATCAGGACGTCTATTTGTGAGACACATCTATTGCCACTTTGCAATGCAGGGTTCTGGGATAAGCATAATCTTTTCAAGAATGTCTCTGGAAAGCTAATGCCTCCAGTCACCAAGGATGCGCTTCATCAAGGAAAACTGCCTTTCTACCTCGGCTGTGGATGATGGTATAACTGAGATTATATGAGCCAGAGGAGACAGATTGGGAAATTTCCTAGCATTTTTCAGGATTGAACTTGTCTTGTTCTCATTCAGAGCCCTGACTTTTTTTTTTCCAGTGTTGAGCATCCTTGGTGTTGAAACACAGTCTCATAATGAGCTATCAAGTCATCCATCTGTGTCTCACCATATTCTTTCAACTCATCTATTTTGTCAGTTTCAGGCACACTTGTCCTGTCAAATATCCTTGCACTCTTCAAAATTTTATCTTCTGATGTGCCAGCACGAGCTTATCCAACATCTCTTTCATACTTTTTTTGTAATCATCTTGCTTGCACTTTCCCTTGCATCTGCATTTTTTTTTTCATCCAGAGATTTTTTCTGACACTGCTGAGGTTTGGTTATCATTGATGTGAGTGTGTTCGCATTAGCCATAAAAAAATGGACACAATGGCCAAGCTGAAGAGTGTCTGACAGAAGCTTGGATGTGATTTCAGACAACTCTGATAGGATGTGTAGTAATCCACCCCCCCCCCCCTTCTCCCTCAAGTGTATCTTAAAAATAAAAAAAACCAATAATCCCCCCCCCCCCCCCATTTCAACCGCTGGTGCTCACATGGTATCTTGCGATTAAGTTGGGAAGTTGGGATGCGAAAGGGCAGGTTCACTGACCGGTCACAGTGGCATACCGGACAAGAGGCTTGTATAACTTTCTTTTCTTTTTTTTGTCCACAAGTGACAGCACAGGACAAACATTGACTTATTTACATCGCATCACATTTTTTGAACAAAAGGGAGCGGCAAAAATTGCCATTGTTGACCCTTTGATTTTAAGGGCATTACGGCAAATTGCAAAGGCACCAAGGCAAGTTGCCGCGGCGCCGTGGTCTGTTTCAAGCCCTGAAATTATGTGGTGAATATGGATGCTATTATAAGGCGAAAGTTTGTGCCATTGTAATGGAATAAATGTGTGTTCATGTATACCATCATGAAGTGAATAATAAGTTGGGCAAAAGGGCCAAGGATGCCAAAAGAATGACTTGGCCTGATAACGTATATAATGGCAGCTAGTGACTGCCATCACTGGCAGGTCATCGTTCGTCAATGTCTGAGCAATAGATGAAACCTCCCAGTATCAAGTTCCCAGTATAAGTAAGTACGGCTTTGTAAAGAAAGTATGTATGCTGTTGTTAAGCATATTCCACGCTGTAAGAGGAATGTGTATACCTGTGTAAGGCAAAAATGTACGTGGCTGTAAGGCCCTATGCACATAAGGACTATTTTTCCTAATCGCTTGACTGCTTGTATGCCCAGTGAGAAAATGTTCTTCATCACTTACTGATATATGTCGCAGCCTGGCTACAAGTAGAATTTTTCTTTTGCGTGTGTTAGGGCTCAGGGAAGGTGTAAGTAATATGCCTGTCTATGCCTACCATTGTAAGTCAAGTGTCCAAAAAGATTTTAAAAGAGTAAACGTTGCAAATCATTTTATCCAATCTGTTGTTGCTTTCAGACATTGGATTTGAGAGAGATTGACGTGAAAGACGTAGACAAAGACGTGTTCCGTGGCCTTGGCGTACTTCAGACGCTGCACGTGCCCAGCTACAGGCTGTGTTGTCCTCAGGTGAACTACGTTGTTACTGTAACTGGTAACTGAAGTCTGAACATTGAACTAATCATGGACATGACTTACATTATTGTTCTCATTTGTTCATCATAGTTTTAATTTTCCTCTGTTTATTTACTTGTGTATGTGTCTTCTGTTTGTTAACTATTTGTTTATCGTTGATCTGTCGTATATCTGTTTATTTTCTTTTTTATTATTGTTTTCTTCCTTTCTTCCTATTTACAATGATAGCCTACAATTTGTTTTTAATTCAATTCAGTCCCGCCCAGAGAGATTCAGCTCTAACGACTTTTAACTTTCTCTCATTCCAGGTACGCGGGAAATCTGTTCCTGCCCACGTTTGTTATAGTGAGAAAGATGCATTGTCTTCATGTTCAGGTTAGTTTGTTCATCCCTGAAACGAAGAGTACAAGTGCAAAACTTTTTTTTTTAATAATCAGTTTTATTCGGTACTTTACATGCTCATTCATTTACAGTCTGTTTATTCATTGATTGATCCAAGAATGTAGTCCTTCAATTCGCTTCATATTGTTTGATTTTTGATTGTCGCTACAATGCAAAAAATAAAATAATTTAAAAAATAAAAAATATGAAGAAGATGCCATTTTTGAAACAATGTTTTCAACCAATGTCGACTGCAAAAACAAAAAACAAAATGTCATCCTTCTGATTATACGTAGACGTAGCCGAAACCACCCCAATCCTTTTAGTTTTGAGTCAACAACCATAGGTACTTTGTGCAGAAAAATTTCTGCACACCTATTGACTAATTTACACTCAGTGACTCCCACCTCTTGTTTCCATGGGAAAGGCCTTTTGCTCAAATTTTTCTCACTTCACCCAGGTAGGAATAGATACCTCAGGGCTGCCTAAATATACCGATTTTTCTGGTAGATACCGATTATGGGACTGTTCTACCCGCCATACCGATGAGGTGTCAAAACTACCGGATTTGTGATTGTTGCCAAAAGAAGAAAAAACCAACCATTCTGCAGTGCTTCCATTCTTCTTTTGTTTTTGCGGAAATCCATACTTTCCAAAAGTTCCGTACTTGCCGCATCATCATATCACCTAAATGCGTTAGAGAGAGAGAGAGAGAGAGAGAGAGAGAGAGAGAGAAAGAGAGAGAGAGAGAGAGAGAGAGAGAGATCAGCACTTGCCTCTGTAACTTGTCATATATTCACGGCAACTCTCTGCAATAAGTTGTATCAGCAGCTGCCAGATTGCACATTTCGTACACATGACCATTGTCTATCTGTGCCGTTCGGTCGGCAATAGTTTTCCATGGGCATATCAGCTAAAATCTGTCTACTCACGATAGATAATCTTCCTCCTTCCTTTCATTCAATATATTCTTTCTTTCTGTCTTTCTTCGGGTTTTTGCTGCGGCTGGAAAATCTGTGCATTTCATTTATTTATCTAGAAAACAGAATTGTGAATGTAGAAAGAAAATCGATTTCGAAGCAAGACATTCTAAAATATGTCTTAGTCTAGAAAATTGGACAGTACCAAATGAGGATTCTACTGAGGGGGATTGCCAGAATCTGGAGAAAAAAAATTGCTAAGACCGGAGAAAATGCACAAAGTCCTTGAAACCAAATCTGAAAAGGCTACTAAGTTCATTTTTTACCCGTCATGTTTGTGATATTACCTTCGGCTTTCCCCAATCCGAGAGTATGTTCCGTGCAAATAAGCGGCTATGGTGGCAAGTGGAAGTGTAGGTGTACTATGGATATTCTCACTGATATCACTATAATGACAAAAAAAGGAAGAAAAAGAAAACAAGTGTCCTCCGATTTCTAGATTGTCTGGCCCGTCATCGTAACCCGTCAGTGAACCTGTGCGAGTTTGCATCGTGTGAGTATGGAATGAGTAAGGGACCGGCCTGTGGTTTTTAGGGTGATCAAAGTTCTTTCAAAGTAGGAGCGTTACACTCAGGGCTTCAGAATTGAGGGGAGGTGTTTGACGCAATAAAGTCTACGGCAGCTGGATAAAGCCGCGGTGTAAGGAACTGATGCTAAAATAAAAACGATAAGTGGAAGTGGTTTTGACATTCGACAGTCGAGTGCGTAAATGAGGAAACATTTAGATCACAGACTTGATGATTGTATCTTCAAGGTTGGTGCTCCCGTATTTGTCAGATTTGTCAGTGATGACAAATTGAATAGTAGCAATGAGGAAATGCCATTTTCAACCCTCGGAACGCTTTATGTTGGATGCCTATGCATCATGACTTATTGCTGATTAAAAACTGGTTCTGTGATTTAGCATTTAGAAGAAAAAAAATCAATACTTAGTCCATGATGCAGTGATTCACTGATTGCCAGGTTTTCAGTATCACTACATTCCATGCTCTCACAGTCCTTCCAGCTCCGCCTCTCAGTACATGTTCTCTTTTATTTTCACTTTTTGCTCTGCCGTAAGCCTAACCATAAAGGTTTTATATAAGTTTTGTTTTGCATGCTTTTTAAAATCCGTGGTTGCTGAAACCAAACATGGTTTTGGCAGTTCGTGTTCTTCTTGCCTCTCCTCAGGCCCAGATCAGGATTCATTTGGTATTTTTAGGGTAAAACTAGTTAAAATTAATTGTCTGTCATACCTAAGTTTCAAAGGACTTGTCAGTGTCCAATGTTAGTGTCGGGAAATATGTTTTAATATAATATAGTTTCTATTGGTATGGGCTAGGGTTTTTGAAGTCAGTTTGGCAGTCGCCCTGCACTCAATTGCAGATTCAATACTGAATGATAGGTGCCTGAATAATAGTCCATAAATTCTTTAAAAAATAAACAAACTTGCCTCATTTCATCCACACTGTTCATCTTTACTTGTGCACACCCTGTGCACACCCAAACACCCCCTTCCCCTCCCCACATATATAAACACATGCGAGAGCATACGCACATGCACACACACTGACACACACACACACACACACACACATGCATACACAAACAAGTTTTCAAAATATAATTACCCAATATCACGGAAAGCAAGTCCGTTCGATGGGGCAACGATCATCTTTTTTACCTTCTTTGTCTTTGTACTACTTGATTTTGGGCCAAACTACCTGAAACTGACCCTGAATCTACCAGAAATGGGAACTTTGAGGTAGGCAGCCCTGATACCTGGCCATAGACAGTGAAAGATCTTGTCAGTTTACTAGTGTTTGAGCACTTAATTCACTGCTTGCACATTATGCTTCCCATGGGAAGCAGACCATGTTCCATGGTCTGCTGGGGTAATAACAGGGCATAAACCTTGCTGTTGAGAGAGGATGTGCGTCACCAAAATGCTATTTATTATTATTTTAATTATTATTATTACTATTAATTTTATCATGATGGTGATGATTATTATCAAAATTACTTCAATTCTCAACCAGAGGACCAAACCCCATCGCTCAACTGCATAGACAGCATCGAGGGCACCTTCCAGTTCTCTTACGAGATCGGTGGGGGCGGGGGTGGCATCTGTAACCACAGTCAGAACGTTCTGGACGCCTGTCAGGTTCCGGGGTCACCCAACTACGACAACCTGGCCTTCTCCATGTCCTTCAAGAAGTGTCCGGCTCAGCAGAATAGTTTTAACAGGGACACCAGGTAGTAGTAGTAGTAGTAGTAGTAGTAGTAGTAGTAGTAGTAGGAGTAGTAGTAGTAGTGGTGGTGGTGGTGGTAGTGGTAGTGGTAGTGGTAGTAGTAGTAGTAGTAGTAGTAGTAGTAGTAGTAGTAGTAGTAGTAGTAGT